TTACAGCATCTTACAAAAAAAAATAATAACTCACATATTTTGCACTGAATGTCTACACTTTGGTTTTGTTTAACCTCGAAGTTAAATATATTGTTCAGTACTTATGAATATCATCTACACCATATATATATATATATATATATATATATATATATATATATATATATATATATATATATATATATATATATATATATATATATGGTGTACATGATACAATGAGGCCAGTGTTACTGTTTAATAGAAATTCATAAACTAATGAAGAAAAATAGAAACAACTGACAATAGGCATGGATATTTTTTTTACATCTATATTTGAGGGCTATATATCTTTGCCTTTAGTAAACAATACTATAAGGCAAAAATAAATATCAGAAGTTATCTGCTTATGCTCTTGTTTGTCTATATTCTCTTATTCTAGTTTGTACTGAAATTGGGAATACAAGATTACTATTTTCTTGACTGTGTAAAATACAGCTAATCTGCAACATCAATATAAAACTAAATATTCTTGAAGCACTTCTGCAGAAAAAAGAAAATTTATGACCTCAACTGTATACCTTTATGACTGTCAATTAGTTGTAAAGTCTTTTTAATCTGCCGTTGCACATCTTGGTTCTTTTTGACAGCTGCGTCTGTGCCATGGGTTGTGTAGTATTCATCCCTGAACTTATACAGTTCAGTAACAGCTTCCTGCAAGGAATCAAATTTTAACTTAGCCTTTTATACTACTGATATACTTGGAATTTCTAAAGTTTATATCATATGAATATAAAACTTAATCTTGATTTTTATATTACTTTTAAAATCATGGTCAGTACATAAATAATGAAGGGTTTATCTGATACTGATTATCTTAGATCATATACAAGTGTTCTATGATACTTTCTTGAGTTATCTGCTATTCACTTTCAACCTTGATGAGGATATCTTAAAGAGTAAATAATGGATTAAAGAAATTGCTGGATGAAAATCAATTCATAGAAAATACAAGAAAAGGAAATGTTGTCTATGTTTTATCATAGGATAAATATTGCCTACATGCATTGAGTGCATTGACCACTCAGAATCCAAAGACTGCTAGGTTCTGTGCCTTTGTTCTTAGGGTACGGAAAATACATAAAAATTAGTAGCACTTTTGCCTAGATGAAAACTATAAATATTTACTATACGTGTACTGTACCACCACTGAGAAGTGCCTAGGCTCTGTATTACTTTATGCAAGTGTGTTTGACTGTTTACGAATATTCCATTGGAGTCTCCAAAAAACAAGAAAACTTTTCTTCATAACATATTATGAGAATGAATTTTAAAAATAATAAATTTTGATTGGATCTGTCAAAAGTAACACATGATTGGGTGTTAGTCATATCATCAAAACAATCAAAATGAAACCCAATCTGAAATAACTTAGATACACAATGACTTTGAATAAGGTGATCTCACTCTTCCATATAATCCTTACAGTCAGTAATGTGTACTAATAAAGGCAAGACTAATCTTGGAGGCCAAACTACATATATCCATGAAAGTATAGGTTTATAGATTATTGTTTGTAGAAATTGGCAAAGTAGGCATATCTGTTGGGACCTACTTGTGCTGTAACTAAACAGAAAAAAGCCAATAATTTTGTTGCTCCAAACCATACTGAATGCAAACAGTACTGAGAGCTTCCTAGAAAAGTGAAAGGTAGCTCTTTGTACCCCTATCATATTAGCCTTAAGCTAACTACCTACTAACTGAATTTGAAAAAAAATGTCTAAACCTAAACATCCCTAATATCTTAAAATGATTTTCAGACTAAACGTACTTGAATACTATAAAGTTATATACTACAATGCTCTAATTGCAACAATGAATGAAGATCCAACAAAAAAAGATTTCTGGTGCAATAGGTCTGGAAGGTGGGTTTGTCCCCCCCCAACTTCCCCAAAGATTAAAAGAATAAAATAAAAACACAAAGTAATTGTGACTTAGAACTGCCCCGCTAAAACTGGCTCCTGATTCACACTAATTCCACGCCTACCGTAAGCCGAAACTTCCCAGAACACTCCATACTCTCCATCCATGTCCTTATCCGTTGGCAATTTAAAAATTCATAAAACACAAAAATGACTGACAAAATCGACTCAAAGACACTTAATCCTATTATTCATTTAACAATCGACTTCCCGGAATTTGTGGGAGGTTACCCAGCGTATTTCCTAACTCTCAAAGAAATAACTCTGAAATAAATGTTTTATTTCAGTTAAATTCAATCATTACTTACTCGTATTTTCTCTATAGCTGTCATAGTCCGAATATGACACGATTGTTAAAACTATTGATGTTATTCTAGCAGGTGTGACATGGAAATGTTGTTTACAAACATCGAGGGAAACGAGCTTAACAAATGTATATGCATTTGGAATAGGAGTATACTAATACCGATTTATGTCACAGCACAATTCACTGCTTGATTTGATCTAAAATAACGATGATGATAATAACAACAATGCTTATTGCAATAGTAATAATGATAGTAATAATAATAATTAACTATAATAATAAAACAACAATAATAATAATGATGATGATAATAATAATTGCTCTCCTTGTGCACAACAATTTCATTAGAATTCCATATACTAACAAGTAAAGTATAAATATGTTGCTTTGGTGCACGGTCTCTTAGTCGCGCGGACACTCTGACTTGGAAGGAAGGTCGTGTACTTGTATGACGGTGGTGACTCAATGTCGGGCGGACATCATGTCGCGGTGACTGTGTTGCGCGACTTGTCCTCGTAAACCCTGCTGACATTACCCAAGGTCTATATAAGCATCGAACCCCCAGGCTCTGCCTCCAGAGGACGTCATGCGCGAGATGGACGAATTTGAGTCGTTTAGTGACGAGACCAGTACTTATATAGACCTTGACATTACTAGCCCTAATTGCTCTGTTACTGCATTGACCTTGCGAACAGCTGACCTCATGTTTCAGCGAATCTCTCAGCCGTGTGTCTCATTTCTGGTTATCTTTCCATATTAAGGAATACTCAAAGATTGAAATATAATAATTCATTTCTGTTCGATTAGATTAATTAATATGAATTTTTCTCTTTATCTTGCTAAAATTAGCCTATCTGTGGCCACGAAATTAAGAGTAAAATCAAAAGCATTGGGGAATCGAACCCACTCCACCCGCCTCGTAGACAGGTTTAACTCATTGAGCCATCTAGGATATTAACACAATTGCTATTCAGAATAAATAGCCTACAATTTTTGTAGTTCGTTTTTAAGGACCTCTCCTCTCTCCCTTCCCTTCCCTATCGCTCTCTTTCTCCTATATCTCCCTCTCTCTCTGTCCCTACTCTACCTCCTCTCTATTAATTCTAGGCTCTACGAGGACCCCGGCAGCACTCTATGCAGTGCTCAGCGTAAAGCGGAGGTGATCACGCCCAAAGACCTTCAGCCCCCCCCCCCTTCGGCTCTCCCCTGGCAGGCGCTCTCCTCTCCTAGTGATTAGGGTATAGCTCTGCTTGCGGGAAGGCCCTCAGGGTGACATGATGGTTCTGGGGTCGTCGTGGAGGCCTACTAAAGAGAGGATTTGACTCCTCCACTAGTGGCGACCCCAGCTTGCGTGATCCTTCGGTGTTTGCACAGTGAACTGGTAGTACATGCCTTGACGCCAGTGAGACCAACTGTGCACAGTTGGTTTCGCCCCTTGTAGTTCTGATTTTATTATCACCAATACTTCGGCATTAGGATGACTCTTTGTGCACCTTCTGGTGAACTGGACTCCATCTTCGGGCTCGTGCTCGGACGTGGGCAGACTTTTACCTCCCGAAGGGGAGGGTGTATCTGGGGACCTTAGCTGCCTGCCTTACGGTGCACATATAGTTGCCACTCTTTGATAGGGACTGGTCTGGCAGACCTCCTTAACTTGCCATTTTCTCTCAGATAGCCATGATTAGGCAGGTAGCTCCCCTCAAAACTTGTTCAGTGTTATATTAGCTGCTGCTAAGCTGAACATTGACCCCTTTTCCCTGATGGTATGGCATTATTGAGGTTAATGCCATTACCATGTTTCTGAAGAGCCCTTGGAGTGGCACTTCAGAAACTTGTCCCTTTCCCAGGCGTGCTGATCCTTGGGTAGCCCCCTCTCCTCTCTCGTTGAAGCGGCCTTGCCCAATGACTAGCTCCCCAGGAAGGGCAAACAGCCAGAAAGAGGTGTTATCCTCATAGGATATAACTTCATGATAGTGACATGACTCATGATTCATGGTACTATTCTATCCTCTGTTGAGCCTTTGGGTGGCTTTACAGAATACTGCCAACACAGAGGTGCCATCCTCTTTCACAAAACCATGAAAGACCCCCTTATCACACTAGTCCTTGGATGGCCCCCTCTCCCTCTCGTTGAGGCGGCCCTCCCCACTGACAAGCTTTCTAGAAAGGGGCTATAGCCGAAACAGAGGTGTCATCCTCTCACCAAACAAACCTGATCTCATCTTCCTAAGCAGACTGGTCACTGGACCGCTCCCTCTCCCTCCCATTGAGGCAGCCTCCTCCACTGACTGACACCTAGGTAGAGCTGAGCTCCCCTTCCAATGATGCTTATCCAGTAGAAGGGTTTGCATCCCCTCAGGTCTCTACCCAGAGGTTTTATGCCATGCATGACAGCCCTGTGCGCTCATGAGATGGGAGTCCTGGAGGTTAAGCATTCCTCTATTCCAGCAAGACAGGTGGCCTGAGCCCGGCCCGGTCAGGTCAATCGGCTGGTCTCTTAAGGGAGGCTAGGGTCAAGCAGTCACTGTATTGTTTGGTCTCACACAGGTCCCGTGAGCGCCGTTCCACAAACAACCCAATGGTTGCGTATACTCTCACACCAGCCCTGTGGCTGTTAGAGAATGTACTCTAACACACAGCTTCCCCTTGTTGGATTCCGTGGTGGGTGGGGTAGCGAGATGCTGAAAGAATAGCTAAATCATATGGCAAATAAAAAAAAAAAAAAAAAAATCGGACTGACCGAAAGGAAAATTACCGAAGCAAAGAAATGACCACGGCAGTTTTCCACTAGGGTCTGACATGGAGGTGATCACAACACTCCCTCAAGTAGTGGAGGCTTCCCGCCTGTCCAAAGGGAAGTCCCCAACTGGGCAAGTCCTGGTCACCCTCAAGGGGGCCCCAATCACCACCCTTGGTCTGGGTAACTGGGGCTCATACAAGCTCAGGGCATACGTGCCAGAGCCCTTGAGGTGCTTCATGTACCAAAAGTTTGGACACCACCAGGCCAATTGCAAGGCCAAAGTCAAATGTGGTGTGCAGCAAGGCACACGAAACGGAAGTGTGCACGGCACACAAAGATGGCTAGAAGGATACAATTGCCAAGTGTTCAAACTGTGCCAAGAGGCATCATGCCTGGAGCCTGGCTTGCTCTGCCAGGAAACAGGCAGTCCTCAAAAAAGCAGGAGCAAGCCAAAAAGCACCCTGATTTTGTCCCATCGCCCCCAGGCACCTATGTCTGGGAACAAAACAAAAGGGAAGACCCCGACCTCCTAAGAGGAAGGAGACACCTCCCCAGCCAAAGCCGGATACCTCCAACCCAGAGGAATTCCCCAGGCTTGCTAGTAATCAGAAAAAGAAAAAGAACCTAAGGAAAAAAGGTTCAAAGTCCACAACAAAATCCTCCCCAGTAGATGATAATCTTTTCTTTCACGAGAAGGATATGACTTGTTGAGTGCTGTAGTTTCTGCAGTAGCAACAGCCTTGGGGAGGACCCGCGAGGAGGCGGAGAAGGCAGTCCAGGTTACCATGACGGCAATGACCCAGACTGTTGCAGCCCTGAAGGGGAGGAAGCTGGAAGCCTCCAAACCAAAGCAGAGCCGCACTCTCCTCCCAGTTACCACAAAAGAAACATCAAATGGCAGGTTAGCTTCGGGAGACACAATAAGTGAAACCCCAGCTAGTCTGTCGGACCAGACTAACTGCGCAGCGGATGCCCTCACTACAGGCCAAGCCTGCACAGCCAAGGTCTGGTCCCTTGACTCGAGGTGTTACCTCTAACCTAGGCTCTACATCTCCACGTAGACCCTTAACCAGAGTACCACCCTACTTAGAAGATGTGCTATCCTCAATCAATGTGGATCTATATATGTCAAATGCCACCAGCACAGGGGCTTCTAAGGCTGGAGACGAGTATGATGTAAGTGACACTGAGTAACCATCATGGCACAAAATCTAAGCATCGTCATGCTCCAGGAGACGTTAACTATGGGATCTGTTCGCTTCTCAGGTTATCACATCTTCACCACTCCATACCTGGATGGTGCTAGAGGCCTGATGACTCTGGTAAAAGAAGCAATATCGTTCTCCTTAATAGCCAACCCGCCGCACTGTGGAGATGGCGTTGAATCTCTTGCTGTTGAGATTCACCTGCTTGGGGGTCCTCTGAAAATATACAATATATATGACAAACCACTGTGTGACAGCTTAGATCTTAACCAGGTCTGTGCAACAGCAGCACAAGATCAAGTGATCATAGGGGGAGACCAATGCACACCTATCCATGCTGAATCCCCGCAAGAAGCCGAACGCGGCAGGCATTCATATAGCAGAGGTGTTTGACACATTCCCAGAGATCGCTCTTCTCAACACCCAAGAACCAACACATGTGAAGGGAGGGGTTCTGGACCTTACCTTTGCCACTGCAACAATGGTGGAGTGAATTCGGTGGTGTGTCGATGATACGGTTACAAGTGATCACTATGGCATAGTCACCACCGTCATGGATGCTGGTCCAGCCCAAAGACCACAACACATTCCTATACGGAAAAGAGACAAGGCCAACTAGTTAGCCTTCCAGAAAGGCTTGGCCCGCTGTCTGAGAGACAATGAACCCCATAACAGTGAAAATGTGGACATGCTAGAGGCAAGACTAATCCAGGCCATAAATCAGGCAATATCACAAACCATCCCCAAAACTCGTCCATAGTCCAGAACTCACAAAGACGCCTGGCACTACAATGATGAGGTCAAAGAGTTCAACCACAGAGTTAATGTGTAGAAAAAACTTCCGACGGCAAAGAACTCCCGACAACCTAGCCCTCTTGAGGGAAGCTGTTGTGGATGCCAAGGAAACTGCCAACAGAGTATGGCGGGAAAAGTAGTGGTGGTGCCAGTCTTTTGGCCACCAGACCAGCCTTACAGAGTTGTGGATGTGGGTCAGGCAAGCGAAAAGCCGCCAAGCCCCGAAATGCACGCATCATGACCCACAGTTAGAGGCTCACAGGCTGGTGCTCGAGTTCTCAGCCAGAACCGGTAGCAACAACCTGCCTCCTGTGCTGAGGGATAAACAGCAAAGCCTAAATCTAGGCAGGCTTGCTTTCATCAGAGACGAGACACTCGAACCAGATGACTCGGATG